TAGGAACAGGTGCCTTACTAGTAGTTACAAGAAGCTAGTAGTAACAATAGATAATTTGGATCTTCAAAGCCTCCCAGTTCGGTCACATCATCTGTCTTCTTAAACGAGGCCTTAGTCATCGACCACACGAGCCTTGAGTCTTCGATCCAAAGTCCTTGAACCTCTCACTCGTTCCATCCGTTGTGTCTTTGCCGCACCTGTCCAAGGCCAATAGCCCACGATGGTCAGCGGGATGTCTTATTACTTATTGTATCATATTGTTTCGATGTGTTTATTTTTAACTTTGCGATCATTGACTGAACTGATCTGCGACTTGTTTTGTCACAAATTATTTGGGTGAGTCTACGTTTGACTGATCGAAAAAGCTACCACTCAACCGTCATGGGGATGCAACGTCTGCAAACAATCTTCAGTGGTGTGGTTAAAGGGCCTCAAATTTAGGGTGCTATTGTAGGTGCCCGGACTGCAGTAAGACCCGGTAACGCTGGGCCACTGGGATGTCAAATTCTGGCCTCTTTCTTCTATTTGCTGTAGCTGCGGACGCCAAAAGCGTTCCACAAGCAACCTGAAGATCAAAGCAAACCCTGAATGCTCTTGAGGCTAGGCTCAAACATTATACTAGCATTGTCAACAGCCAAAGAATCCGCACAGATCCGCACAGTGTCATATCCGAGGCACCACACTGCTTCCTGGGCTGCCAACCGCAGAATCGGCAGGGAAGGCAAATTCTGCCAGGGTGACAAGCAAGACATAGCAAGACGCACGCAACCAAAAACCAAACTTCCGGATTTTATCGGATTTGCACCTGGTGAGAAGCTTCATGTCGTAGGTCAACGAAGAACTGTGGCCATTCAAGTCCTTGTGCACGCTCTAGAATGCTGGACTTCCGTTGGCGCGTTCTGTCCTTGACTGGAAGAAAGCAACTCCCACATTCAATGTACATGAGTACTTGGTGTTCTCAACTTCCTTCATGTCGCGTTTGCAAACATTGTTGTTTTCGCTTTTCAGCAACTATGCCCCTGTCCACGATTCCGTTCACGAGCCGGATAACAGCCATTGCGTACATCAGCCTCAACTCGTTGTCTGCTCGCGGAGCCTCTGTATCTGGGTTGAGGTATGCGTCGTTCAGCATGATCTCCACGAAGCTTGCTGTAATGTCCACTGCCACAGGCAAACGGCATCGTGTTCTCCTCAGTCTGTTGGAGTCCCCTGTGCCTATTAGATCTTGCCTGGATGTGTCTAGAGAGTCTAGAAGCTAGATGAAGCTAGGGGCATCCTACGAGTACAACAGTTTTCTTCTCCACTGTCAAAGAACATGTACTTTTTGACCCATCACCGGACGTCACCGGTGGCAAGTCACATGGCCTTATTTTTCTTGCTGAGTGTCCAGGTCTCCACGCGCTTCACTCCTTGTGCCCGCTCAGAGGGGGACGATGAGGTCAGCTGCAGATAGACGGCATGAAACTCTGCCCATGAGGCCCATGGTGCGACTTTGCTCATGGTAGAGAAAGCACTGGCATGCACTGGTCAGTGAGCTCATAATAATATGTCATATGATGTCATATGTATGTGTTGATGATTTATGAAAACGTTCTCATTGGAGATCAACCAAACATCGATGTTCATCCATTGTGAAAATACTTGCTCTTTTGTATAATCACATGTAATCACGGAAACATCGGAAACAACAGGAAACATAAACAGGCGTCTTGCTTGGCCCATGACTTAGAGCAACAGCCAAACTCGATGTGATGCTTACAATCCTGACTTCAGCGTAGTGCTTGGTGATCATCTTGCAGGTTAAAAATCGATGTGATGTGAATGCATGAAATTATCATTGGATGTGTTTGCTCCCACAAAGTATCGCTGCCCAAAGGCTAAATCAGGTATGCCTGCCTGTGCCGGATTGTCTTCCTCTTTGTCAGCCTCTGTCGGAATCCCTGTCCTGAGCATATCTGACCCTTCTCTGTGTGTGGTGGAATGAGACTCTGAGTGTGCCACGAGCTGGTAGAGCTGCTTCCTGCAAAATCCAATGAGCTACTACCGTGCATCCGCAGCCGAATGATCCACAAATTTGAACTCACAATTGGACATTGCTACTAGGGTGGAGACCATCGCCAAAAGAGAACGATAAAAGAAAAGGAAGAAAGGTCTGTTCGCTGATCTGCCTGCGCCGGAAGCCGTGAAGGGAGTGGCTGCGACTGCACCTCAGGTGGCCATCGACCGCGAGGCTGGGAAAACGCCGACTTGCCACACGATGGATGAAGAAGCCTGGCCTGTTGCTTCTCCAACGCTGAAGAAGTTGGCCCCGTGCACACCCTGGTGGCTCCAACTTTACACCGAAGTCCAGTTGTAGTGAATCATTATGAATCGGTCAATTGTACGGTGAATTGTGACTGAGTTGCAGATATGTGCTGATCAAATGCTGTGGACTCTGCACAAACAGAAGGGTGCCTGATCGCTGACCACCTTTAACCTGAATACAAAATACCAGTGTGCAATGATTTTCCTCTAATTACTAATTATATAATTCATATTAATTCCACTCTTCTCTTCAAGTGCAATGCCATGTAGCGCTGTAGCGCTGTCACAAGAAGAATCACTGGGTACTCGAAAAAGGATGTAAAAGGTACCAGCTTTGCAACTGAGAAGCAGCTTTGACAAGAACCCAGGATCAGCCGTAGAGACAAATCGTGTTGCCACGATGATGTAGCCTTCCTGGGGTCCAAGGAGACTCAATGGAGAGCGGTCTTTGATCACAAGGACCCAAGGAACCTTCTTGTGTGAAGATAAATTGAAAGGGAACACGATTCGGTGAGCCTCGAAAGTGACGCTTACCACACCATCAATCTGGAGCACCTCCAATGCAAACTCCGTCCAACTGGAACATGAACGATCTCTACCTTTTTGCATGCTTTTTGATCGTTCCAAAAGGCTTCAAAAGGCTCCAAGAATCTCCAAGACCCCTTTGGTTTCGAACCTTGGGGAGCAAGGCCGTTCTGGTGTCAGATTCCAAAGGCTGACTGACCTCGGCCACCGCAAGCGCCGGTCTCCGTGCCGTCTTCAGCTCCGCCGGTCTCCGCCCATCTCCGGACCTGAAGGACCACTTGACCAGCAGGTCCACCAGAGCCCTCCTTGATACAGACAAGAAACCGTCTTTAGCAATGAGACACTGAATGAGACCTACAGAATAGCGATGGCGATGGCCTGCAAAACATCTCAAAAACACCTCTCACCACTGACATCAATTGACATGACTCATCATGACTGCAAACACCACTAAAAGCCAAGGCGGTCCTTGTGTCTCGGACTTAACCTTCTCCTACACCACTGGGACGGTTGTTTGACGGATTCTTCGACGGAGGTGTTTCATGTTTATCTTGCTTCGGTCGCTGGAGCTCGCTGCGGTCGCTTCGGTCCTGAAGACACTTGGGTCTTCTCCGAGGATCACCTCCAAGATCTCCACCACTTCCTGCCGAAAAGAGAGTCTTCAGGTGTGCAAGAGCATGGAGTCTGAGAGCATCGATCGCACAACGTGGAGAGATTGTGCACCCCAAGAGCATGCAACACACCACACGTTCGCAAAATACCTGGTACTGAACGTCGTGGGGGTGATCCATCTCCAGTGCTCTTGCGTTCTCAAGTGCACGCCTACCGCAGGGTTTTGAGCTCTCAAAACGATCCATGGACGTTTTGCTGTGTGACGAACCTTTGATCTTTGAGGGTGTCCGTTTGCACATCAATATACATCAATTGCGCTCGTTGCCTCCAACCCTCCGGGTCAATCCGATAGAGTCTCTCTGGGGCACCTGAACTCAGTGTCGTGGTTTGATGCAACACACACATCCAAAAGCTGAGGGTTGAACGCTCTTCTATCCTCCTGAGATTTCTGCCCTCAATCCATACGCAAGGTGTCCATTAGAAGGTTTCACACATGCAAAAGGAATCAAGCATCATCTTGGGGTTCCTGTTCCTGTCATTATCAGAGCGATTTTTATACTTAGACTTGAGGCAATGGGACATGTTCACGATCTGGGCCTCTGGCAAGAGCTAGCTTCACACGAATATCTGGATGTTTCATCAGCGGTACGATGCTCCCCATTTTGTCTGCGCAAACTCGCAAGAACATTTAGCCGCAAGTGTTGTATACTGTACTTTAATTGGCTCACCAGAAAGATTAGACCAACAAAACGTCAGCGTGCGCAAAATTTGAGATATGATGCGCTTCGCTTTGTCTATGAACTGTCCTTCTCACAGGGACCCGCTTCTGCGCACCTAGAAGGCCTTCGAAGTTAGGGTTTGAGGCCTCTGCCACTTGAGCCATCGCCTTTGCCTTAGCTGGAGGCAGTTGCCATGGAATGTGACAAGAGAACTCATTGAAACGCAGGTTGTGCGCAAGCGATAGCAGAGCCGACCAGCCTCTTCAATTCAAGAAAAATCGTTCAGGCATAACGATATGTTCACAAAAGCACTCCCTGGAAATTATCTTCAAGCACCAACCGAGGCCCCTGCCACGTTCAGAGCACTATCTAAACGAGAAAATTCCGTCGTCATGGCGGCTTTCTGAGCTACTAAGCTTCAATGCATTAGAATCTGCGTGACAAGCATCTTCAGCCTTCAGCGCGCACTCCAAGCTACCTAGAGAATTATACAAATTGATTATATATATTATATAACTATATCATATATCATATATACAATTTACATACTGACATAGCAATGCCGCCAATCTATGCATACCTATCTTCTATCTATATGGCCATCGGATAAGATTGTCAATATCAAATGTCTTGCTCCGTCCCTCGCCTGAAACATTGAGACATGACATATTGCATTCCGAGCATGACTGTAACACTGTAACATTGCTGCGTGAAATGCTTTCGGTTTAACTTCATGGCGTGAATTCTTGAATCCATGGGCTGGTGAGAAAGCTGCAAAGCCCAACGTAGCAAAAAACAAAAAATGTGCATCGCCAAACGTTCATTTCAATGTTCCAAACGAAACACCTGCTGCAATAGAGGACTGGCGTTTGCTTGGCAGACACGACATGCACGTAGACAGAAATGTGATTTTGGTGCGGAGAGGGCTGCCAGTTGGGGACAGAAACATTGGATCAAATTGTGATTGACTTCAGCTGATTGCTGTACACGTCTGGCTAATTAATGCCTGGCTAAGCTCAGCCGACACAAAGGGCATGTGCTGTTTACTTGCAACCAGTGCTTTAGACACTGTCGGTGAAAAATGTGGTGGCATTCCTTGGTCATGACCCCAGACTCTTCGTCGACCTCTTCCAAACAAATTAGGCATTCATAGTCCTCCTCGACTTCCACGACTGGCACTGTGCTATCTTCCAAGCAGCCAACTGGGGCAGCGCCACGAGATCTTAACAAGCCGCGACGCAACATGGCCCCCAACATATTGCCAACCCCAACAAAGCTCACCATCAAATAGATGGTGTACGTCACCAGGCCGATGCCGTGCGCCACAGTGGCATCCCAAAGTCCCGGTGCTTTTTCTCTGCAGCTGGGCAAGTGGTACACATCCATCGTCGGATCGTACGGATCAATGTTGCCCCGCTTCGAGGCTGCACCGAGCCACAAAAGAATCCAAACATTAATGGCCATCACACAAAGCAGCAGGACTACGCAACAATCTTTGCATCTCCATCTGCTTGGCACGGAGGTTTCATCAATCTCAATGCAACAAACTCTTGTACCCATGACGATATCAAAAAAGGAAATGCCGAGAATGATCTTTGTCAGCAGCTTCAAAGAACCTTCGCAAACTACATCATGATACTTCACGTATTCCAGAATATGCCATGTAGCTAGACCAAGGAGTGCAGCACTCAGGACGAGAGAGAACATGCCAATCACCAAAACATACCGTGAGAATAGCTCGTATAAGATTTCCTCTCGGTGCTGTGCAACCACTTCTGCATTGGCTTGTGCTTGGCTCATTCCTTGTCTGACGAGGTCCTCAAGGGTTAGAGCAAGCTGCAAATCATAATATGTAGTACAGTATAATATGCATTAGTAATTATACTATATATACTTCATCCGAGAGCCCTCGGCCATGTGTTAAGACATATCCACTCTTCTAGCTATATGTGTACATTCTACTTTTATTGAAGTTGGATGTTTAAAAACAATGATATATAAACATGTTTAACATGTCATGTAAAATCATCAAAATTCAACTTTCACGGGCAGAACTGAATGCTCCTCCGCCGAACTGCGGCGGTGTTGTGAAACAGCGGCGCCCCAGCCCAAGACCTGTGCAGAGACACGGTGGGCCAACGGGAGAGGTCCAAGGCCATCATCGCTCTCCTCACTCGAGGCCTTGGTGGGAATGGTCGACACGAGGCCTGGTCACTGGTTCCAATCGAAACTGGAACGGCTCAGAAAGACAAAAGCTCCAAAACGCAAACGTGGTCAGGTGTTCTTTAGTTCTGGCTGCTCCAATGGGCCAACAATCTACATCTACAATGCACCAGAGCGCAGGTAGGGAGAAAGGCATCTAAACTCACAGTAGCTGAGTCTTCTGATATCTTCTGATTCTAGTGTCTATACGTGTCTATCCATTCCACAGATTGGAATTCGGGTCCCAAGCCGATTACCTAGTCATGGAGGATGTCAGTTTCAGGTTCTCATGTGCAGCACTCATTGGAGCCCTGTAACAGTGCCACGTGCAGGCTTCATGTGAGTCACTTTTTCATTTGGACCTCCTCAGTGAGCCAGGGTCAATTGGTGTTCAAAGCCGACTGTTCGACCAGAATGCGTCAGAAAGCATGTTGTGAAGATTGGAGCCCCTAATAGCGTCCTTGTTCCTAGTTGCAAATCCAAGCAGCACTTTCGTCGTCGACTTGTGGAATCTCTCGAGTCTGAGTCCCTGCAGAGATGCGCCGCGAAGGCGATTGCCCTGCCAAGTATGACAAGTGTGACAGCTGGCCTAGGGCAGGTCATGCGGTCAAGGAGGATCTGCACAATGCTCGGTCATGCTCTGTCAAGGAGGATCTGCTCTGTCATGCTCTGCAAGAAACTCATCGAAAGGCAAGAGAAATGATAGAAAATGATCATTCAGAGTCTAGCTAGAGCCGCCCAGGTGCCATAAGAAGGCATCTCTGCAGAATACGCCCTCATTGAGCTGTTGACTGGAGAAGTCATGGCAGTTTCTTCTGCAGCCGCAGCTATTGAAGTCTGATAGGTGTCCGAAGTCTACAAACAATATCATTTCATTTAGTCATTTCATTCTGTGCCGTTGTGACTGGAGGATCTCGATCACAATCGACCAGAGTTCACTTCTGCTGTGTGCAATGTGCGATCCGGCTGGGCCTTCAGTTTTGAGTTTTGAGCCTCGTGCCATGCGATAACAATTCAGAACAGAAGGGGCAGGCCTGGAAGGTAGAATTGTACCAAGGAACGATCAGCGCGCACAGCTTCGGTAAATCCGAACTTCCATGTTCTTGCAGCCGAATCTTTGTCAGCCGCTCAGGATGCTCTCCCATGGAATGCGGATAGACATCAAGTCCTACGGAAACAAATTCAAATCTCGATCGCTGGTTAAATATAACCTGTCAGCTGCTGTGTGACCTTTCGCATGATAGACTCGCCGAGTAAGTTAGGACCAAAAACGCTTCAACGAGGGATGCTCATGCTCGTTGCCAGCTTGGGATGTCCAGTCAACTCCATTTTGCCGAAAGGAGTTACTAGTAGCAAGAATGCTACTAGTAGTAAGGCCAGGAACTACTACTAGCGTCCTTGCTCCTAGTAGCGATGCCCTTTGTTACTAGTAGCAAGAATGCTACCAGGAAGACCCACTCCAGGTTGAATGTTTATTCGTCTCGTTTTTGCACGGAGTTCACATCCTACATAATTACTCCGGGAAAATTCTGTTTGCACCATCTGTAGCTCGAGGCATTTTGCGTTGTTCGCTGTCATGCTGTACAGTATGGCCCTGATGCGAGAAACGCCCAAGGCTGTGGTTTTCATGTGTGATCAAATGCGAAGGGAACATGCGCTCCATGTTGCATTGCAAATGGCTTTTCGATTCCTTTCGGCGCACTTGTTTGTTGGTTTTTGGGGGCAAGTTCAATAACCTGAGAATTGGAAATGAACCACGGAACCTATATATTTGCAGCTGACAGCAGCGAGTGAAATTGCCACAAGACAATGACAAAACAAAAAATGTGTTCAGAGAACCACAAAGAAAAATAGCCAGAACACCACAATGAGCAGAGGCAATCCAAATCTGCTGTGGGGGCAGGTAAAAATAAGCAACAATTTTGCAACACCAATACAAAAAGTTGGTGAGTGTGGGAGAAGCTACTAGGGGCTCCTGGCATCGCTACTAGGAGCAAGGACGCTACTAGGGGCTCCTGGCCCTACTACTAGGAGCAAGAAGCTTACACAGGTTAAGGTGTCAAAGGACTTGCGTATTGTCACAGCTTGTCTGCTTCCACTTTCTGCCTCGAGTTTCAGTGCCGGATTTGCTGGGGTTTTCCATTCGCTCCAAAGTTGCATCAGGGAGGCCTCGAGCAAAGTGCACATCTCATGCAACCAAGACCAACAAAAGGCCGGCATGGCAGGCCTGGTCACAACCAAGGAGGGAAATCGCTTGCTGGTCTTTGCCTTCACTGCTCCTGTGGCAAATCCCAAAACTTCCACATCTATACTGCGGTGTTTAGGGAGGCTTCTGGTTCGGGCTCAGCAGGTAGCCATTTGGGCAGGTTTTGACTCAAGAATAGTCAGGCTGGTCAAATTGGCTCATAGTGTCAAATAATACATCTTGATTGGAGTGGTTGCATGCAAAAGGGGTCAGTGACGTAGCCAAGAAAATCACATGGCACAGGCTGCACTCCTACATGTCTGCATCTTGTTGATGGACTTGCGATAGAAGGGAAATGGAATCTGACCTCAGACACCGTACCAATTCAAAGGGCTGCAATGTTAGTCGTGGAATTGTGCTTGTTTCTTTCTTGGAATTGAATCTGTTTTGCCTTTCCTAGGTCCGCCTAACGCCCTATGGGGGTTTTCGGAAGGTTCCCGCTTCCCAGTCGTGTCGTCACCGGCCGGTGCCTCTTTTTGGAGGGTAGAAACTTTCAGTGGTGGCAAAGGGTCATCCCCTACCCGAACTAAGTGCTTGGGCTTGGCTTTATTTTCCGCTGTGTGTTGGTGTTTTGTTTGGGGTTTTAGGTTCCTACCCCAAGAGCAAAACAAGCGGAAAAAGGCATCCAAAAATGCGGCAGAATGCCAACAGACAAATTATTATCAAAACCCAGCAAAATCCGAGAACCAAAAGCAAGCCATCAAAAACCAAACCAAAGCCATACCCGCCACCAAAAGCCAAAAGCCGCAGAAGCCACTGAAGTCAAAAGCCACAGAAGTTCACAGAAGCCACAAAAAGCCCACAGCCGCAAAAGCCACCGAAGCCTAAGTAACACCAAAAGTGCTCAAGTCCAAAAATAACTCAGCTCGATACAGTTTCTCTGGGTGTGACAGGTGTGACAGATTGTAAATGATTGTAGAATGTTGTACGCTATACTGGATTCAATGGGATCCTATCGTGCATGAACACGCTCATATGCTGATACGCTAACAGCCGCTAACAAACTTGCAGCACCTGTCAAGAACCTGTCAGAACAACCTGAGCAGGACCCCCCTTGCTTATCAATGGGGTCAAGCACGTCTAGAACTACCAAGGCCATCAGCATTAGCGGATTAGCGAACTACCCAGCCATCAGCGACTGCTGACAAACGCCAGCAACAAGTATGGGGTGCACTTTGCTGGGGAGGCCACCATCAATGCTCAAAGGAATCCAGCCTGCTGCTGGTGACCCGCGACTCAAACCTCATTATGCAAAATGTTAAGGTCGGTTTAGAATGCCCACACCTACCCCACGAGGCAACTAAAGTGCACCGGCTGAAGTTCATTACTGCAATGTTTTTTCTTGCCAAACACACTGAAGGGGTTCTTGCAGCGGGAAGAAAGGACTGGTGTCCAATCAAGGTGCTTTGGAAACGCGCGCTTTGCGAAGTGTGCCTATGCAGAGTTAACGATAGATTTCGCTTGACTACATTTGTTTATGTTTAGTATTCACAACATTCTGTATTCAAGTCCGCGGAACTTTACGCAGTCAGGCCTATTTCACCTGCACGATTTGAAGTTGCTTGCCATCATATTTGCAATATCTTCCAAAAATATCCAAAAAACTGCCCAAGAATCGGCGTCTGGTGGTGGATTGTCCCTTCAGCCATGACACAGTCTTGGCAACAAGCTGAGATGGGTCCACACTGATGAAGAGTAGGGCTTCCAGTAAAAAGTTGGTTTGTGCCTGGATTGATTTCGGGCTGGGCGCGATAAGATCTCTCCAGGTTCCCCACTCAACTTCTCTGGAGAAGTGTTGCCAAGTTCCCAGAACTTGTCCTGAAAAGGTGCACAGTCACCATACGATCTTGCCTTCACCATGGACTTCGTCAGGCCTGCCATCTTGAGAAAGGGCATGACTCGTAGTGCAAGACCATGATCGGAGGTCCAAACGGCTCCTGCACTTCCCAGAGTGCAGAATGATGGCACTAAATTGTGGAGATGCGGCATGGAGGTACTTGGAGCAATCTAGCCAAATCAATGAGCAACAAGAAGGATGGCCACCTAGAGGTTGCCAAGTCAAGCACTGTTCTTTGTTTCTCGCCAAACCCTGTCCCAATCCTGGTCCATGTGCACTGATGGCAACTCTTGATTGAACATATCCCGCCATAGATGCGGACCAGCAGGACGCACCTACATTCACATCGCAATCCACTGTATCTTTGTTCTCAGTTCACATTGAACCTTTTCCCGGGTGCCCTCGGGCCCTCGGGTGTTTTGCTGTTCCAGTCGCACTGCAGACTGCTTTCTAGCCGCTGCCTGCTTCTTTGGTGCCACGCGGACAGCAGACTTGCCATTGGCGTAGGACTGAAATGTGTAGCGATTCATGTTGACCTGGAGGTGTCACAAGCAGAGAGGTCGTGTGGCACGAAGGGCAACCAAACATTCAAAGCAATCGGGTTCAACCCAGGCGAACACGTGCTAAGCAGAACAAAAATAGAATGCAGAATGAGTGTTTGAACCTACACCACCATACGCCGTATGCTATTCGGTTGGAGGCCATCGCTACTACGATGGAGGCCATCCCTACTAGGATGGAGGCCCTCGCTATTAGGTTGGAGGCCATTGCTATTAAATTAGTGTTGAACCTACGCTCCATACGCCAAGTTGCAAATTCTCCCGCCTTGTCCGTCTGCATGAAGCAGCTCTTCACCTTGGCACTATCAACGAAAGGATGCAGCTGAGAATGACACTCCATGAGGTTCGCGAATGTGTGATTGAGTGTGTTGTTCAAATGTGTACGTATACTGAGAAAGTTTCTGATTAAAGAGCGATCATCACATGCATCTCACATCTTCCTTGCCTCAGGTGAGTTGTAGACTGCTTCCACATTTGGCAGGTAAGCCTTCCCAGCGAAATCAAGTATTTACAAACTACAGTTGCAAGCTCCATTCGACAGAATTCAACTAAAGATCTACAATGGTCTCAAAGCAGCTTTGGTGTTTCTTCCCTGCTTGGGAGCAGTGCAGGTGACAAAAGGACACAAAACAAGTCGATGCGGCACTGACAATCTTTTCATGTGCCAAAGCAAAGGGGGCAAAGGAACCCGGTCCGATTGAATCATGAGGCATGCAAATCACAACGGAGGTGGGTAGTGATACACAGCACAAAGTTCTGTCCTCTAATATGCATCTGAGTCTGCAGATGTGCAAGATCTCATTGCTCCCCAAGCCACAACAGTCAAAGGATTATATAAAATTAAAGCTAAAAGAACAAACATGTGACATGAGCTACTTTGGATTTGATGTACAAGTAAGGAAACATTGACATCAATCCGCCACTCAAGATACACAGGAAGAGATCAGCATGCAAGCCACACATGTTCTACATAATTTGACAAGTTTGACAAATCTAGCAAATGTTTGCAAATACTGCGATATACTACGATCACATCCAGTGTGAAAGAATACATGCTTAGCATACAAATATCTCAGAATCTCCGGCATAGTTGGCATGCTCTTTATTAAAGCATCTTAAATGGGAGAAACGGTGGGTGCGACCCCCGATACTCTTTTCTGCTTTCAGCCTTCAGCAAATTTCTGCAGCGGTTCACTAACATGTATGTCTCATTCTTCTAAACAGCTACTTTCGACGCCTGAATGAAAGCACTGGGCACAGCTGCCAGCAAGTCCTGTCCAAATCAGATCATCACTTGCACAGAACGCTCAGATCAAGAATGAACCTCTCAACAGAGGGTGGCCTGCCAAAGACTTAAGAGAGAAACCTGATTCCTGATTGCAACACAATGCCTTTAATGAGTAACTTGTCCACGCAGCTGAGAGGAATTGAGCTTAGCGGCTTAGCCATTTTTGAGGGCGTCGCTGTGGCTCATGAAATCAATATCGCATTCTTCAGTTTTCTTGTCAATCGGCGCACAGATGCGCACAGTAAAAACGACTAGAAAATCGGTGGGCGCTCCCCAATCTTCCGCTGTTGTGGCATGTATAGTATCTCGTCATCGTCTATATGGATCAGCCTTAGCTGCTGTAAGGAAACCAAGCCAAAGGCATCCAAAGGCTGCTGGAAACATTGTCGTCCTCTGCTGCCTTGATTCCTGTCTACAAGAGTAGGACAAGGCTAAGACTTCTACCAATCAATACCCATCTCATCGCAAGCTTGCTTGGCTTTGGCCATCATGGCAACTTGCCGAGCCTGCATGTCACTGTTCAGACATTTTCACGCAACGTGCATAAGAAACCAGAAAGCGTTGCCTGTAAATCTGTGTAATCATCTGGAGGTCGTGAGTCAGCAGAGACTCCAACTTAGAATCATAGACTTCAGGTGAGGATCCATCAGCTCAGTCTCACAATGTCCCGTCCAAAGCTGGGGCAGGAACGAAGACTTGCCATATTGGACTCCCAATGCGTGACCTGCCGATTTTGTCAAGTCAAGAAAACCTCCCTGAGTCACCCTGAGTCTACAAGTTTACTTGATGAGCCTTAGCCAAAGCCATCTGCAAATGAGAATGTGTCTGAATGTGTAGTACCCCTGTGAAAGCCCTCCCTAAGAAGCAAAGCGAGCAAAGCTGTTAGAGCAATTCTGTATGGGTCTGTATGGGCAACAGCCCCGCAATTGTTTTTAAACGGTTGGTCCCCCCGAGAACAGCGTCAACAGCCCATAGCGTGTCATGCCATGTCATGCCCACCATGCTTGCACCGCTTGCGCCTTGGCCTGTTCCTCTGCTGACAACTGCCGAATGGTCTTCGCAGTCTCAGGAGAATCCTGGCGGTCAACTTTTTACAGTATTCCCTGGACTTGATGCTCGAGCCATGTCCCGTTATCCAAGCGTTTCTCCATGTTTCTCCTGGGTATTGACTCCATCTCTTCAGTTGCCTTTGTGTGTTCAATGCTGACCCTTCCACCACGTGGTTGACACATACAAAACAGTCCTCTGACTTGACGAAGATATGATCGACCTCAGAACTACTCAGGGGATTGCGGAGCAGTACTTGCACCGGGAGCTCTTGGGATTTGACTCCAGCATGGCGTAGGTGGTACCTGTGCAGAAATGGAAAGCTCAGCGCTTGCTGACTTTGCTAGAAGTATGAATGCGCCCGGCCTGAGCCAATTCTTAAGGTCTGGAGGATGGCGGCTCAGAGTGACCTGGCCACAACTCACAGCGGCTTCTCCGGCACTTGATACCCTCTGTCGGCAACCCAATTTCTACAGATTGCTACGAAAGCGAACATGCAGTGAAACCGTCTGTGTATCGCATGGCCTCGAAATCTACCATCAATGACCATGACTTTGAACGTCAGTACATGGGATTGCTGCAATGGCGCCACGACAGTGTTATTCGAAGTGCCACCACGAAGCGACCATGTTACGACGCAAATGGAGACAGCCCAGCAAATTGCAACTCTACCGACTCTATCAAGCCCCACTTGATCATACAAGTCGCAAGACCTGTACCAAGATTGCCATGTACAAGGCTTCCATGTCAAGGAAAGAAAGACATGGAAGAGTGGCGATGGCAGCACGAGCACTTTGAGGACGCTGTCCTGTGACCTGGGTGGATTGGCGACGCCAGGCCTCCTGCTCCAATTCTCCACCAAAACCATCCCAAGCTCTGAATCCCAAGAAAGCAAACTGTTGCAAACGACATTCTGACAAAGACTAAGGCACTCACTGCACACCAGCATTCCTGCATTCAACCAATCACCGTGATGGGACATGCAGCGCCACAAGATAAAAATCTCTCCTTCCGCCGATTGAATGCTGGATCCTAGGCGATGTTCGTCGAAAGAAGCCCCGATCGTCCAGAGCCAGCGGATTAATTACAACCTAATAGCAATGGCTAGGAATGGCCTCCAACCTACTATCGACGGCCTCTTTTTTTGTCGGAGACATACAGAGTCATACATGTTCTTCGATTCCTGGTACTCTCCGTTCATCTCCGTTCTCAATGTATCATCTCCGAAGCTAAACCGCTTTGGATCCCGGCTCCAGAAAAAGTCTGCACATCACACGTCCTGTAGACAAAACAACTTAGACATACTTAGACACTATCCTGCTGGATGGCCAGATTTGCTCAGGTGCAGACACTGAGCCTGCCACCCCCTGCGCAACCTCAACGCTTCGTTTTGGCATGTTTATGGCACGTTTAGGCTGTGACTCTTCCGGGAAACGTTGTCACATTGATAGTGTTTCGCTTTCAGTAGGCTACGTGGCATGAAAGCCAACATGTTACACATGCAAAGTTCTTATTAGTACGTACAGCGAATCAAAGAATCCAAGCAAGCAACCCAACGATCTCCTTCACCAAAGCGGAGCAGCCCACTGCATGAGCACTCAGAGCCTGAAACTGTGAAGCCATGTGAAACCATGTGCAAGCCATCGATGCAACGCTCAATGTGGACTTGAAATCAATCTCCCAATTTGGGATGCCTTCAGTTGCACAATGTTCCCACAGGACTCCCAATTCTTCGACCTGGCAGACGTGTTCCCCGCCGAGGTGACTATGTCGCGAAACTCTCACTGTTCGTGCCCGAGCGACGGTCTTGGAGGCACTGTGTGACCCACTCCTGCAAGCGTCAAACCAGGCTTTGAGAAACGGGACTTGCCAAGAAAGAGGATCAGGCCCAAAGAAGAATGTCTCTGAGTAAATAGTAATGTATATCTGCATATCTTAATCAATCCGCAAATCTCTCATCACTTACTTTTTGCTTTCACTAGTTACGTTACTCTGGCACTTGCCTCAGCTTGCTGGCAAATGCAGGACACGCAAAGAACAATAGGACCTGAGGCGAATTATGACCACAAAAGACCATGGCCAGCAACAGTTGTTGTTGGAATTCATCGGCTAAACAGCTAAACGTCCAAGATGCAAAGCGGCTACCCAGCAGTTGGGCCAAAGACATACAGCACTCCTGCAGGCTACAAGCGCCAAGCCATGCAGAGCCGGTCCTTGAAAAGAAGGAACCGCCTGTCGGCTACGTTGTGAGCGGAGCGCTGCCCACCCGAGCTTCACATTGAGCCAGGGGGCTCGCGACTATCAAAAAGCTTCAGCTAACTCCATGGCTTCAAGACTGAACGGATGGTCATTAAGTCAAAAGATATCAAAAGTAGATCTACATGTCCAACTACAAATCCTTTTTGTCAGTTGCTGCAGACAGGCGGCGAAGCTGTGCTTGGTGCGCCAGTACAAGCAACCGACTACAGCTCATCCAAACGGATAGTGGTGTCGAGGGCGGTGCTTCCTGAATGCATGATCAAATCAAGATCTTCGTCTAAAAACTGCCGCATTCAAGAAGAAAGAATTAAAGTAGCTGTTGCATTTGCTTGTCCTGTCGTACGCAAGCTGAAACTTGTCCAGGAGGTCCGATGTATTTGAACAGACCTGTCGGCATGCAGGGATTTGCGGCAAACTCAGGACCGCGATTCCACCTTGGTGAGCGTGGCCAGCAAAACGACCAGCGTGGCATCATTGAATTCACCGCAAAACTCCTGCCAAAAGAGTTTGGCTGCGTGGTCATATCCAATACGACCCGAGAAACATAGAGAATAAATGTGAGCGAATTCACTGCAGTACGCGGCGGCCTGTTTCAGCGAAGACGGGTGGACAGACTGCAAGGCCTATCAAGGTCCATGTGTCAAGCACCCAGCAAAGTAATGTGAACATCAAGGAGCTGGTTGGAGGCCATCGCTACTAGGGTGAAGGTCATCGCTCTTAAGGAGCTCCCAGTTGAATTCTCAGGCCGGGCCTGGCAAATCGACAGGGTTTGCCGCAAAACCTCCTGATTCTTCGGCGCGCGGCCTTCCTGAAGCAGGCTCGAGACAACTCAAAGATGACTGGCCTAACTGGCCACCCCTTAATTCTGCAAGTCGTCGTTGCTAGGGAATACTAGGTAACCTGAGTCAACTCCATGTCTGTTCACTGAACCGCCAACACCGATCAACATACAGTCCAGAATAGGGTGTATCTATATATTTAATATTATATATATTAAGTATTACAAATCGTTAATGTACTCTCATATGACCATCTTTCAGCGGCTCCTTCACATCTTTCATGTGCTCCAAAAGCTCTTTGACCCGATTGCTCAGCATTACCTGGTGGATGGGAGTCGTGTCCCCTGGACACGACTCCCGTCCCAGCTTCTGGTCCAGTCCTCCCGTCCTCTGTAGCGATGCCGTTTGTTACTAGTAGCTTCTTGTTACTACTAGTAAGGCACCTGTTCCTAGTAGCGTGGCACTTGTTACTAGTAGCTTCTTGTTCCTGGCATTAAGAATGCTCCTAGTAGCGAGGCCAGGAGCCCCTAGTAGCGTCCTTGCTCCTGGATCCAAAAACTGAGGATCCAACTACAGAGTTTGACAGGCCGCTGGTGTGCTGAGTAAAGTCAGAGGAGTAGCCTGGACACGTGTGGCTCCAATTCGGGGTTAAGGAACACCAATATACACCAACCAATGTTTTATTGCACGTGGCAAATTTCATCTGGCAGCCTGTCTTCAGCTCTCGTTGTCCCTTGTTAAGTTTCATATCAATTGTTTGCAGTATATGCACTAGAGGGGGCCTCTGTAGGATACAAACGTATACAAAACATGATTCATTGAGCTGCCTGAAGCAGCAGTCGTAGCAGACTTGGCTACATGATTCACCTGCAAAATGAAGCAGCAAGTACTGTAGCAAGTTGCATTGATTCACTGCATGCTGCAATCACTACAACACATGCAAAGAGTACAGCTATTCGTTCTGCTTCAAGAGTATCGATGATGTAGGGGACCTGGCATCAAAAAGCATTGAGGTTGGCGCTAAGCTAGTCTGCAGTCAGAATCAAGGTCAAATTTGAACATTTCCAGAAAGCATGTCCAGTCTCCAGCGGCCTCATTCCAAGTCACAGTGGCTTCTCCCTGCTCTATGTGGATTGTAGCATCGTAAACCTGCAATGCCCGTGACATATTTCACCACTGTTCAGGCCCACGAAACACGTAGTACGTTTCAAGAAAGCCTCAACTCATCCGATGCAACGAAAATAAGTATCAAGCGCATATTATCATGATACAGCTCTAAACTCTTAACTCCGAGCTGTTCCTGGGGCACTTTTGGCATCACTACTTTTGCAAAAAGCACGGAAGCCTTCACCGGAAGCTCCTCTGACTGGGAGGCCTGGCAAAGAAAACTACTGCAAATCAAATCCGACATACAGGAAAGCTTGTTGCACCAAGGATAAATAAACGTTGAAAAGATGGGTGCTTGACAAGAAATATGTTCTTGGCATTGGGTTGAATCCTTTTGCCGCGCCTTTTCCCGGGACATCTTGTCAGCATCTACCAGGAGAGCAAATGGATTCTCGTTAGCACCCACCTCGAGTTGCATCAAGTGCAGTTCGGGTCCAAAACCCCTAACAGCTTTCAGTCCGAGGCCTCCTGAATCTTCTTGTGAAGAGCTTTGTCAGCCTCTTCAGGTTGAGGGCCCGTTGAATACCATCCTTGGAGCTTCAAAAGGGAAAATTGTTTTTCTGCACCTGTCATGATGAGGGTCCATGCTCCAACTGCTGAGGCAGACTCCAAGAAATTCATATCTTGGAAAAACCTGCCAGCACACAGCGGTTGGAAAGCCTAGGTCTAGGTCGCCTAGGCCCTAGGCTACCTAGGCTCATGCTGCCAAGAAATTGACCAACCTCCAAGTATTGGGACAACCGCTGCTGGAAGAACTCCAGGTCAAGCGTCCTCCCAAGCCAAATGCCAATGACCAAGGTCTTGTGCAAACCTGGCTCTGGTGGCCCTAGCTGAGATTGGCACCGTTGGCCCCCGGACTCCAAACAGACCAGTTCAAAGGAGTTGTGCACATCTACACGCCTGCAGTTCCCCACTTCAACTCAGAAAATGTTGAATGGTCACAGCATTGATGGATACAAATGGAAATTCTCCCGGCAATCCAAGGGGTCACTAAAAGCCTTTATCTTTCATGAGTCCAAGTTGCCTGCCCTCCTGTGCTCCCAGCAGCGCTCCAAGGACGCGCTCGGACCTGCAATTTGCATTTCGACACATGTGGACACGTGTGAACGCCAGAAATGGAGAAATGGCGGAGCTCTGTAGGGCTATATACTATCTATATATATATATATATGTATATTTCGACAACCTACTGCTCAACCCTTGGAAAATGTTTCAACCTTCGGAGAAACCTCCAAAATCAACCTCACCTCCTCTTCAACCTTCTGTATGTCAATCATTTTACATAATTCTACTCTTTCTCAGACCTCCGAAATCCTCAGGGTCCCGCCGTCTTGCGCTGCGAAAGCGGACAACATGGTCCGAGATATTGATGAGAACCTAGAGAGCTCGAGAGAACCAGAAGTCCACCTAACCGAGAGATACCAAGAGTAAAGAAAACGTGACTTTCTTGGCCGGAATGAGCTTGTGACCAGTAGGCTTTAGCTTGTAACTTGTAACCTTTAATTTGCCTCTTGGATCTTCGTGGGGCTTGAGGTCAGGACCAAAGGATGGAGGTGAACATCCAGTCCAGCAGCTGCAGCCATAGCTGTCCGGAGATTTCGGAAGGTGACAGGCACTGACTAGATCCGCTTGTAATTAATTGTTGCGTTCTGTTCTTATTTATGGCGGCTTCTCCCGAGAGTAGCAACACCGATTGTCTCAATTTCTCTCAACCTCCAACTTAAATTGTGTGTTTGGGCACCTCCTGATCAACATGGCTGCTTTTGGCAATGCGTGTCAGCCACGTGTAAAGTGAGCTAAGTGAGCCAAAGCTTGTGAAGCAATTCCAGGCGACACTTGCTTCTTGATGGCGAGAGCCCTGCATAATCTGCTTCTAAACTGTGTCAACATGAGCTAGGATTTTGTAGGAGCAAGGACGCTGCTAGGGGCTCCTGGCCTTACTACTAGGAGCAAGGACGCTACTAGAGGCTCCTGGCATCGCACTAGGAGCAAGGACGCCACTAGGGGCTCCTGTATTTTCATGCTGCGAAGGTCTCACACATTTTCTTTTGGCCTCACAGCTCTGCTCTCCCATCACCTGGTCTGAGTGAGGGGCTCACATGTTCGAGCGTGGATAGATTAAACATGTCGGGCATAAAAACTGGGTGTTTAGCCTTGCTTTGGAGACACAAAAGGTGTTGCAAGACACTTTGCAACGAGAATCTCAGGAACAAGAGCAAGGATATAATGCGCACATAGGATTAAGTAACCACCCCCTATTAATCAATCCCAGCTCGACCCCTCCAATACTAAACTAATTGAAAACCTAGATTTCCACCTTGGCATCACCCTAATAATGTTTTCCTGTGCAGAAACCTCCCCCTATTAATCAATCCCAGCTGCCCCGAAAAAAAAAAAAAAAACATATTGTTCACTACTTATTTATAGTTCTTTTATATTACATTCTTGTAGCTAGTCTCCAATATATTTTATATGTTTTAATGTTTTTAAGTTTTGGCTAGTATTCAATATCTTCATCTCCTCATCTTCCTGATTCTCACCACCACCTCTCAACTACTCATCCTGCTCACCAATCCTTTTGATGGCTTCTCCTCATAGGTCTCATGCTACCAACCCTCCCCCAAAACCCAAAAACTCTCTAGCAAATTTTCCCTTATTAAAACTCTATCAAAATCTTAACTTTTTCAAGCTCACAAAGGGTACCTACCCATCACAGAGGCCCTACCCCCCCCCCCCAATAGTAGGACCACCCCCCCCAATAAATCAATCCCAGCTGCCCCAGAAAAAAATATAGTATACTTTGTATGTGCAATTCTTTATTGTTTTCTTTTTTGCTAGTATTCAATATCTTAATCTCCTCATCTTCCTGATTCTCACCACCCATTCCATCTTCCTCATCAGTTCACATCCTATCCCATAAGCTCATTCCCCTTCATCCCAACTCTTCCAAATACTAATTCCCGTTCATCTCAATTCTTCCAAATACTCATTCCCTTTCATCCCAACTCTTCCAAATACTAATTCACTGTCATCTCAATTCTTCCAAATATATACTCATTCCCTTTCATCCCAACTCTTCCAAATACTAATTCCCGTTCATCTCATTCTTCCAAATACTCATTCCCTTTCATCCCAACTCTTCCAAATACTAATGTCCTTTCATCGCAATTCTTCCAAATACTAATTCCCTTTCAGCCCAATTCTTCCAAATACTAGTTCCCTTTCATTCCAATTCTTCCAAATCAAATTCCCTTTCATCATCAGGTCATCAGCTTTATTAGGGGGATGTGATCTCCAAAACCTCCAATCTCAAACCTTGTTGACCTTGAAGGGGAGGGGGGGGGGCCGTTGATTAATCCTACGTCGACATTAGGGGAGTGACTGAACAGCGCCACAAAAGAAGGGGGAAGCAGCACAATCGAACTATTACTTCAAAGCTACGAAAGCCATGTCTTCCTGCCATTTAATTTGACCCTCCCACCATGCAAGGTGAACTAAACCACAAATAAGATGAGCCCGAATATTTACAGTAAGTAAACGTAACCTTTCTTGGTTTGTGACGGCAGCTGTCTCGCTTTCGTTGAACATGTCGCCTGTGCCAGCTTGAAGGCGCAGCGTGAACTCAGGGCCTGCGGCACCAGTGACCTGCAAAAAGGGCTCCTTCAAGTTATTTGAAGACATTTATCCTGCATGGCGATGTGATGCCAGATGTCTTCCGACGAGCACCAACTTCAGCAATTAATTGAAAACCACTTTGCCGGAACATGTCTGAACATCAGCCGGTGCGCCTTTGCTGGACCATGACGCACCGACAGCTGCAACTTGGCAAGGCCTTTGCTTGTTGGCACTGGTTCCAAGAGGCCTCCCAACCATCGACAACGGCCACAACATATTTTGGGCCGGAACCTGGTGCCCGACAGAATCATTTTTTGTGTGCAAGAACTCAGAACTCTACTATTATTGGTATCAAGAACAGCTAAAGAGTGTCCAAGTCGTTCCTGTCAATAACATGTGCCATTCCATCCCAATTTTCAGTTCTGTATAGAAACTTGGTGTACACAAACTCAACTCTGGCAGGCCTGGATCTGTGTCAGGCTGGGCGACTACCTGCACCTCGCCAATTTATCTCAAAACGCAGCACCAACTGTTCGGCTGAGGATCGCACATAATGAGGCCAAGTCAAATCGCGGCCCAAATAACGGCCTAGGTCATCACAGGTCGAAACGGTCGTGAGTCGAATCCCGTGCTGTCTGGGAGCTGTCTGCGCTGAGTCGCCTTGGACCAGAGAAAACCTGAGGATTTCAGCGGAAGGACTTGTTGCACACAGCGGTGGCACAATACAGCCGAGTTACAGCCCAACGCGCAACAATGGCATGAACCAAACCCTCCTCTTCAACGCGTAGCTCCAAACCAAAGTTCTCCTTCAGCTGTCTTGACACGAAGAATTAAGAAGGCCATGCCTTAAGTGTAAAATTTCCTCGCATCTGGTCTCAACATCCTACAATTGCATTTGGCATAGCAACATTAGCAACATGCATTTCACATGCCCCAAGAAACACTTTTTCGGGTTTCCTTGGCAGGAAGTCCATGAGGCCACGTGTTGAGGTCCACATGGTAAACACATTTGGGCGCAGAAAGCCACCTGCTGTAGACAAGAAAAACAAAATTGCCGTTCAAACTGCGCTGCTCTGAACACCTTTAGGCTTTAGGTTTGTGTGACTTCATAACAGCCGGAACGCTTGCCTGAAACGCAAAGATGAGCGTGATCCCAACCACTTTGTGTAGGGAACCTCGGAGTCTGAAAATAAATTTCATGAGATTTCAGGACAAGGTGCAGATTGCTGCAGGTCCCTGGCCAGTTGACTTAGAACACCTTGCTTTCTCGCCTGCATACATTCCAAGTATACATGCTTTTGTGAAACGTATACTTGGTTGAGTTTGCACAAATATTTATTGTATATATATATATATCACAGACATCCCAGTTCATGCTACTCGCACTGCGTTTCTTTTTCTCGCTCTCATTCACCATTTCCCTGTGGTCTCAAACAACCCTTCTCCTGGGGATAATGCGTTGGTAAGTTCCTGTCACCAGGAACCTCCACCCTGGTTGCCCCATCCTCCAGTCCAAGGATGTAACACGCAACCAGGTTCGCTCCCACTGCATTTCCCCAGCGCATTTTTAAAAGAAATTCTCCCAGCCGAACCACGGCTCGTAACGGGAGATGCCACAAGATCATATAGGGAAGTGCGCGAGAGCACTGGAAAAAACCACTGGAACGATGCCATGCGTCCTCAGCCCAATTGGATTTGGATGGCGCCCATTCCCAGTAAATCCAACAGCGAAGCGAAAACAGCAAAAGATGGATCAGACTACTCATTCACTCAAGGTCTCCGCTAGAAGTCGGCCATTGGTCAAAGAAAGCAGGGCTGCCGTGTTGTCGATGTACCAGGTGCGTCGCCGGCCTTGAAATCTCTCAGGCGCGGGAACCAGTATAACAACTCTAAGTTGAGCGATTTTCGCATCGCCCCGTGACCACACATCTTTTAGCTCATCAAGACGCTCCTGGGACGTGGCGTGGACAAAGACCGAGAGAAAGCCACCACAGCAAAATGTAACGAACGAACGAGATCGGGGAAGGTAGCCCAAACTAAGGTCGTCACCGAGAGGGAACACAAAAGTCCGCACGCCATGGGCGCCCCGGTTCGGCGCTCGTCCTCAAAAGAGGGGAACATAATAACCCAAACTAAACCTTTTTGAACGTATGTCCTTAGGTGCCCCGGACTGCTTCAACAGGGGACAACCAAGGTGTGGCCCGTCCGATTCACCCGCTCTCCTGCGCAGCCTAGGTAGGTACCACCCCGGCCGCGCCCCAAAACTGCTCACCACTTTGCCACGGCGGGGTGAGCTCCCCCACCAGCAGCGACTCTTAGGCAGCACCTCGGGCCCTCCCACGGCCCTTCCCCTTCCCATCCTTTCCCCCCTTGCCTCCTCTACCCTTTCCGCCCGCTCCCCGGCTCCTCCCCCAGCCGCACCTCCGTCCCCGTCAGCAGCCTGCAGATGTGCCCTCGCCCATGCCCGCTTGCGTTTCTCCCCACGGGTTTTGGCACGCCACGCCAAGATACTCAGGGGCTGGTCTGCCGCTTTGGCCCGATTGGCTGCAGTCAACACCTGATTCGGTACACCACTGACGTGTTTTTTGGTGCGGTTGCCGCAGGCGGTCGAGGCGATCCTCGGTGCGCTCAACCCTCGTCCAGAGCCTGTCCAAGTTCTGCTCCAGCTGATCCACACGGGCGTCAAGTGCATTCGCCATACGGAGTCGCAAGGGCCACGGAACGGGAATGACACGCTTGATCCACGAACGGCTGTAGAGCAAGACGGGACAATCAACCCCGAAAGTAATGAGGGACAGCATCTACAAGCAACTCCTGACGTATGGAAAAGTTGCATTGGTGAAGCAAAGAACGCAGCATGTCCGTGTTTGTTTTGCGCGGACGAAAGTCAGGCATAGCTATGGAAGCAACAGCGCGGCGCCGCTCCACATGACTTCCCACCAGGCGTGAGACCCCCAACAAGTGAATCATCCGGCAGGAGAGAAAAGCCTCTCCGAGTCCGTATAGGGCGCCATGCAGGCACAACCACACGGATTTTCTGTGGGCCGGTCCTCTGGCGATGCCAGGCAGAGGTCACGGCATATAGCCGGCCCCGCAAGCTCAGGAGTGCAAGACCCTGATACAGCCAACAAGCAGTACCTGAGGAGCGATATCCAATTAACGAAGCAACAATGCCTCAAACCCGGCATTTAGGTTCATGATTTCGACACGAATCCCGCGTATGATAATAAACGACCCCGCAGTTACGACACGTGCGATTAGCAACTTCGGACCCTCGACACGCCTGATGGCGTCGACTCAAGTTTCTCCTGCGCCTCATCCCACACTGATGGCACTGCCCCGGCGCCGCTTCGTCCTGCCGCATGGCCGGTATCGGCGGAGCCTCCGCTGGCGCCGCTGCCTGAGCTTCGCTGCGTTGCAGCAAGCGTTGGCAATCGAATTCGTGAACCCGCAGTAAGCGAAAATTGTCAACGCGACAGCCACAGTGACGACAGGTCTGGTTGTCGGCAATCGACCCGCGCTTACGGCACCGTCGTCGACCTTGCGGCAGAGCTACACCAGGGATGTGACACTTACCCTCATGGGACCCGCAGGCCTGGGCGGCATCCGGAAAACGACGGCCGCAATGGCCACACCTCTACCATACGGAGGTCCCTGTCCTGTACCTCCCTCCACGCCTCAGGAGTCTCAGTCCCACGGGCCCATTGCGGCGACGACCATCCTTCCCGACCCCTATTGGCATACAGATCGGCAGCATCGTTCCCAACATCCCCACTATGCCCAGCCACGCGCACGAAACCTAAAGGACGAAGGCGACAACCAAGTCCGCAACCCGATGAGCAAGAGCCACATTGACCTTGGGCATAGCAACCCGAACGGCGAGGTCCCGAGCATATTCGGAATCATAATGAATAACAGCAGCGCTCGCCGAATCCCCTTCCGCCCATTCAACCCGCGGGAAAGCAACCGCAAACACGCTTCCCCAATAGCGGTCAATTCGGCAGTATTATTGGTCTTTTCTGCGGCTCCTAACCAATTATAGGGTCCCACGACTCCGTGATGACAGGCCCATACAGCAACCAATCCGGGCGAACAGGAAAGGTAGGGGGTTCAGGATAGACGACAACGGCCCAACCGGCTTGGCCATCTTTGGCCGACCCATCGGTATACAGATGGCGCGGCTCCGGCGCGCGGTCAGCGCCAGGTGCATCATCGCCGGCAGGACCACCAAATTCGGAAAAGGCGTACCAAAGGAGATCGAAGGGGACAGGCGTGTAATCTACGGTTCTCGACAGTGCGGAAGTGCTGTGAACATAACTCACAGGTGAACACCTGCGTGGTGACCAAAAGTCGGGGTGACACACAGCACGCTCTTCAATGTAATGGAACTGACGTTGGTTCCCGTGACTAAAGACCCGATCGCAGACCCAGCAAGGAAAACCCCTGTCCCAATCCCTCAACCTGAACCGCTGTGGACGGTGTCGAGTTATCAGGCAACACACGACCGTGACCAGGGCGCCAACGATCGAGAGAGTTCTTTGCCTGCCGGGACAGCTCCTGGTGAGGGAATGCGGTATGAACCAGGTGACGCCAGGCACCTCGGTTTTGCGCCAGCCGGAACCAATCCCCCCGAGGGAATACCCGCCGTCCGCAAACAGCGTTCCAACCAAGACGCCTGTCCCGACCACAGATGCGCCGAGGCTAACCGACCTTTACTTTCCACCACCCAAACAATATCTGCTTAGGTCTGCGTCCGACCTTCACGCGGGCCACATGGCCTAGCCAGATGAGAGCAGCCCGCATAACCATGTCTTTAAACGGAGGCGGCCTTACGAAGCATTTCCCCAGCGATATGGTGAGTTGCCATGGTCTCCCAACGTAGCGAAAGCACCTGCGTAAACACCCTACGAGACACCGTTCCACGCGCAGAATCATCAGGTTATCCCATGAGCGCGTGCGACTGGTGAACAAGCCGTAGGGACGAGCGTCATTCCAACCGGACCCGCGACCGAAAGACCGCGATACAGCCCAGAGCGTCACTCTCTCGCATTGGCAAGCGACGGTGTAATCTGGCCCGCTCGTCTCCGTCAGACTGCCAGGCCTCTGCCCGTTGGGCCGATGTCATCACCCCTGATTACGCTGATGAGCTGGTCATGAAGGTGAACACAGGACCAGTTTGTTGCAGTTGGCCGAATACTCACTCTTGACCTCCATGGTCAGCACTCAATGATACGCTGCTTGCCAGAACTTTGCGCGATGACACAACAAGGGGTCAACCGACGTGGGACGATTGCGGATAGCCGCCAACAGCCCAGCAACGCAATCCCTGTTCAGCGTCCTTGCAAGATTGGTCCAAAACGTCTTGCCTACTCTCTCCACGATGGGGATTGGTTCCACCTCCTGCCACGTGGACATGGCCATGATATCCCCGCCGCCGGCAAGCCGTAGAGTAGAGCTCACATCAGGCCATGAGACCAACATCAGCAGCAGCTCGTGAAGCCTAAGTCACGCAGGTGGGCGGTTGCCCGTAAGGCAGTTGAGATGGACCCCTTTGCGCGTCGCCAGCGGGCGGTGGAGCTCCCGAAGTGCTCCTACCGCATGGTTGCGCCAACTGCGCATTTTACCCTGTACCGATCCGGTCAAAGATGCCGCGAATTGCAAGTCCAAATCCAGCACTGCAGCCCGCTCCGTGGGGAGGAGCTGCTGTCCGACCAGGCTTCTTGAAAGTGTCGGTCCGGGCCTAGGCCATAAGAAAAGAGAGGAGGCAGGGCCGCTTTCTGCGTTAGGGCTCCGGCTTGTTTACCTTCTGCGCTGCGCATCAATAGCCTTCAGCTGGCCTCTTGGAACTAGAAGCACGCTTCAGCATCCTCAAGGGTTTCAAACTTTCACATTTTGTTGAGCTTTCTTGGTGGCATCAAGTTTTGCATCTTCCAGCTCAGAAATGCATCAGCCTCACTAACTCCGTTGCCCCGGTCGTCCGATTCCTCCCGGGTCAACCTTTGTCTTCCCCGTCATTTAACGTCCATTCTTCAAGGCCAGCAGGGACTTGATGGCTTTGTTTTCCTGCGTCTATCTTTTGATCAAAAACCATCTTGCTAGCATCTATACAAGTCCTGGAACACCCTTGCTTCAAAGGCGGCGTTGGAGTAAAACGGGACCAAACCGTCGCTTTTTCTGGAGGTGAGTCATGGAGTGAGCTCAGACCGGACTTGTCGATTCGATCGTCACTTGACTCTGGATCAGGCTGATCAGACACTTGAGCGGTCATCGCTTCTTGAAACGCTGCGGAGTCACTTGAACGTAGCGCCGGCGCGGAAGCTGTACCGCTAAACAATGAAATACTGCGGTTTTCAAAAGCGAGCGCGGCCTTCAGCTCTGTAACGCAGATCAAGAGATGAGGCCTGCTCGGACAATATACCGTGTTTGCTTGGCAGCTACTAGTTGAACTGGCATGGGAAGCACCTCAGTCGATCGCTCCTGGCATCCATTGGCAAATAGATAAAGGTTGATCTGGCGCTGGACATGGGATGTTGTGGGGCTTTAGAAAAGTTTCTGGAGAAATTGCAGGGCCGAACGACAGACGATGGTTCGGCCGCATCCCAACTCAATGACCCCAGGTCCAAGGCCTGGGCTTGACACCAGCAAACAGCCAACATTAACGTTAATCACTTGGCAATGGGTCAACGCTCCACCAACGCTCTCCTCCACCAACGCGCGCTCAGAGTTCTTCAACCCATTTTACTCTTCCTTTCTGGCAACATTTGTGGCCCATGGCCAATTTGGCCACATCGATTGCAGCGGGTCTTCCGCTTTAGCTTCCCGACTTTGCCTCTGAGCGACCTTTTCGCATCCTGGGCTTGAGTGATGCGTCGAGCCTTCTGGAGGCCCTCCTGACACTAAGTCTTCCAGCTCACTACTTGAAATTTTCTTCAGCTTTTATTGCAGCTCCGGTAACGTTTTCTTTCTCACCACGAAGAAAGGAAGCATGATCTTATGAGCAGCAATCAAAGGCTTCCGAGGCCCGACTAATCCAAGCCTTCAGCGACTCACCTTCTTGAGCTTGCAACTGAAAGGTCGCCGAGGTTTTACCGACATCTCATCGGACACTTCCTTTTGAGGATAGCGAGCGTCCAGCAACTCAAAGAGGACCTTTTCACCATCCTGCGCTTGGTGCTGGGAGGCTTCGAGGTGTTCGACGTAAGTAGGCGTCGAGGTGTGCTGGGAGAGCAACGCGAACACGTAAGTAGGCACCTCGGGCTTGCCGAGGCATCTTGTCCATGCTGTTTAGCAGAGAGATTCTTTGGCATCTTCGCTTTGACTTGAAGTTATTTGAGACCTCCTTGGTCACTTCTGGTGGCACTCGCCGCGGCGCCAGGAGCCGTCCCGGAGCCTGATTGCACCGGCTTGGCTGCAACTATAAGAGTGTGAGCACTGCTTGGCTGGCCCTGCACTCTCCAACTTTTGCAACTGGGAGGCCGCCGTGCGGTCTTGCAAAGTGTCCTGGCTGGCACGCAACACAGTTTGCATGCGCCCAGACCCAACTCTACCAAAACAACGGCTTGTCTCGATTTTCTAGGGGCCTCGCGGTTCAGGAGCCCAAGGGCAAAACAAGTCAACAAATTCGTGGTCGGAGGTCCTGGAAGCACTTGATCTCCACACTGTATGTGTCAGCAAATTCAGCCAAAGCGCTTCTGCTGCTACCGCAAGCGGGCTGCTCCGGCCGATATGCTAATGCGGTCAAGTTCATGGAATACCATGTAAGTGCCCAAACCCCCAAGATCCACCAGCTGCAGCTGCACAGCGGGAAGTGTAAGAGTTACACAATCACGATTGTGCCTCCTCGTTCCATACCCTCAAATCTACCTCACAAGAGGCAGCAAATGCTATTCGCACACTGGACATCGACCGCGAGTAACAATTGAGGACAGCACCTCATGCCAGTGCCCTCCAGGTATTGAAAACATCTGTGAAAGCTCTTCGCCTAACACTGGGCAAAACGGCGAAATAGAATTGCTATATGGAACTTAATTACGTCAACATTTGGGAATGTGAACCATTGCAATTGTAGAGCTCCATGATGTCACTTTTGTGTGAAGCAAATTCTTACCCCAAAGCTTGCAGTACCTCTGCCTGAACAAATGCAACCATGTTTGAAGCACTCAGAGTCTTATACAATCTTATTATAACTCCCGCTGAGTGTCTTGCTTTCCATCAAGGCCACCTCCAAGCAGGCATGGCCAGGCACGACCAGTCCATTTGCCTGCTGGTGGCGGGGGCAGGGGATTGACCCCTAGCTTCCAAGCAGGTCAGATCGCCAGTGTTGTGTGGCCAGACTTCATGATTCATAATTCATAATCACAACCTGTTCTGTTCTCATAGGTATTTCTTCACAAAGTCTTCAAACAGTTCCTTGCGATCCTCTTTCGGATGGGCCTCAAGCAGCTCCTTGCGGATGGATGGCAGGAGTGCAAAGGGGCTCAAGCCATGTAGGGGGGTACCTGGTGAATTTTGACTTCAGCTTTCGACTCGACCAAAATGATTGAAACATATTAAAGGAGCGAAAAATCGGAAAGGGGAAGGACGAAAAATGCACATGTGCAGAGTTTGGACTAACAGTCTGGCCTGGAGGGTCCATGACCACAATGTTTGCGCGTTTGTTCTCAGGGAGAAGGATGTCGAACCTTCACATCCGATTCTCAGCTCGGCCTTTCCAATTGTTCAATCCACTGAGACCCTCACATTTCGCGAGGATCACCAGCTAGAACCTTCGGTACACACAAGCTCAGCATGGATTGGCCCATGTTGAATTCTAATAAGACCCTTCAAAAGCTCGTCAACTATTTCATACATGTTCATACGTTGTGCAACGACCGTGAAATCTTCAGAAGGTTTGGGGATCAAGAGAGCTCGTAAATAATATATAGGACTGCGTCATACAGCAAAAGCCCTCGTCAAAGCAAGCCTCGGCAGTATGATTTCTGGGAATGACGCTCTCCTCGGCGATTTGCCGCAAGACACCAGCAATGTGATCCCAGCCTTGGAAACTGCAGGACAGTTTCGAGCGCAAAAATTGATATTACTTGGCATCGAGGAAAGCACGAGGCATGACCAAAGACTTGATTCCAAGATTTGCGGCCCAAAAGCCTGGCCTCGGTAGAGCAATGAAATTTTGATAAATGTTGCATGTCACGAGGCGAAGTGGGGAAGTAGGTGCTAGGCTTTGATACTTGTATGTACTTGCAGTATAACATATGGCGGCAAACTGCTTGGTTTGGGACATACCAGCATTGCTGCTGCAATCCAGGAGCGTGAGATTGAGGAGCGTGAGGTTGTCTTGCTGGAGTTGTCGCACCTTCATAGCAAGAAACGCTTGGCCTGTGAATCTTTTCGGTCTGGAGTTTGCCAGGAACTGCGCTGGGATGGGATGTGAATCTGTTAAGGAGTGCATTCTTCGGCGATAAGTAGCGCACAGCTTCCTCAACTGCAAATGCCTGCCGTGGCAAGTTCAAAAGCTCCAACAAGTTTTGAGGCTGAGGGCACATGTCACATGGCTAATTGATTGCACAAAACGTGTGCAAAACGCGGGCAAGAAAAGGCATTGTGATCTATTCCGCGGGGCAACATGGATGCCGACATAGAAGTCATGTCGTTCATGATCTCCAGCAATTGGCAGCACAAACCTTGTAGTGAAAATTGCATGAAAATGCCATGGAAGAAGCATTCCACAGTGACTTGGGCTGGGATGCCTGACTCATTTGCCTCTTTCACAGCAAAGCGATCAGGGCGAAGGATCCTACTGAGGAAGAGCAAGTGATGCAACTGCTTAATATCCAATCACTGCTTAATATCACTGCTTAATTGCCTTGCATTGCCTGGATGGGGAGCTGAGGGTTGGCAGTGCGTCTTGAGATGTGAAGGTTGCACCTCGTCAGGTGCTATAAACTCTGGCGGCAAAGATATTGAAGAGCAAGACGGCAGAACACAGATAAACATGTAAAATATAGACAACAAACACATAATATTTAAAGGCGATCAAAAGCGTGGACTGCTCTTCCATTTCCCATGGGCCTCCGGACCCTGTGGTGAATGTCGAACTCGAACATTCATACTGACGCCATGCCTGCAAGCCAAGACAAGACTGGGACACGCTGCGCAAGAAACGATGATGCTCTGCGATGCTCTGCGATGCTCCGCAAAACTGGGACATGCTGCGCTATGTACTCCACAACCATCTCCAGCCACTGCCCAGCCTAGCCACCATGAGGCCAGGCCACTGACATAGGTGTGTCAGATAAATATGTAGTGACCGTGATATCACACAAAGTCTTGCATGGGCAAGTCGTGACTTTCACGCTACAACACGTAGGCCTCAACGCGTAGCTGCTGTGGCGAATCGCCAAACTGCCAGTTCTCCCCAGCAGCTTCCTAGACAAAATAGAAAAAAGAATGGAAGGGCCTTCAATATCTTCAATAAGGGCCCCTTTGAAGGAGGCCTTCCCTTTCCTTCCTTCCTTTCATCTTTCTTCTCCTCCGCAGTTGATCCAACTCCCGTTCACACCAGGAAAGTTGATTTCAGCACTTGGACGGCAAAATTGCAGCTTTGTGCAATTCGCAATTTCGTTGCCCCGACATGTCATCCGAAGCTGAGAGACATGTCCGACATGTCCTGAAGCTGCAAGAGCCACCCCCATGCAACCTGAGGAGCATTCTGGAGGTGCTGACAAACCGAGTTCCAAGAGACAAGAGACCTAAATGTCGATTTCAGCTTCCTGTTTGTTTGTTTGTTTGTTTGACAAACCTTAATTCCAAGATTCAAACATCTCCAGCAAAGTTGCGTGATCCCGGGGCAGTGCTCAGGACCTCAGAGAACCACAATTTTCAAGTGGAGTCAATGAGTCATTTGATCTTTTGTTTCAAGCGCTATACCCTGCCAAACAACACTGGCATACAAGTGCACGCCTCCTTCTTCTGCGGATCAGCCCAAATGTCCCAGTCAAATAGAACCTCAAGTGGAAATGGAATGCAAACAGGAGATATATAAAAACAAGGCACGAGGGATACGCCTTGAATATGCAAAAGTGACACGCTGCTCGTGAACAGGGACAACTTGCAACATCTACGTGACCCATCTTTCTCAAAGGTACCACTCAACTGATTTAATAAGCCGGTGCAAAGCAGACTGTTCGACTCAGAAGCTGCATGGATAACTCCAGATTTCTGCGCTTGGATCCTCAATTGTCAGAGTCAAACCATGATAGTCTTCGGTGATAGACTTCGGCCAATGAAAAACTATAAGCGCGACAAGTATCCGATAAGTACGGTTCTTTGGAATGTCGTCTGGCGACATGTGCTGTAGATCGACTTCGAGCACGCATCTCCGCTCGCTGAGCCTCTCAAGTCCGAAGTCACTGGCACCAAACATGGCCTCCCACGGGGGGGATGCAGTGAAGCAGCAAAGTCCCACATTGAAACCTGATAGGAATTGGTCCTTTTTTAAAATGGGAACAAAATCATTAGTGCTTCTTCAAGGAAGCTTCCCCCCCAGCCTTTAGGGCGGCGGGGGGAGCTTCCTTGAAGAAGCGTGAGCTCAAACTTAACCTGATGATGTCAATTCACGTTTTGTGAACATGAGTCCGTCTCCCTACGGAACCCTGCTATGCCCTGCCATGCCGTGCCTTCCAGTAGATGGTGTCTTGCAAATCTGTCAAGCGAGAAAGGTTGAAGCCTCTCCAGGGTCGAGGATGCCATGGAGATAGGTCTTGAAGTTGCACAAGGGTGGCGTATTGACAGCCACCCGCTGGGATGATGTGTCCGCTCGGCTTCAAGAGTCTCTTTCCTGGCCTCTGCTCTCCGCAAAAGAAATCGATCTCTCGACAAGAAAAACAAAGCAAACGGGGTAGGTTAAAGAGATGGAAAACGAGGGCAGCTACTCTTCGAGCACATCTAGAACATTCTTCAGTACAAGTAGAACTGTGGCTACGGGGGGGGTCAATTGCTCCAGAACGAGTCAAGGCAAAGGAATCATTCAGAATATGCCAATGCAAGCGCTAGCGACGTGCATCCGAGACAAAGGACAATGCACTCTCTCCCAAAAGCATTGTTCCAAAGGTCTCTGTCACCAAAACATCAAAGAGCTCGCTGGCGCCGGTGGTCTTCTCCAAGTGGCTCGACAGCTGAGCCAGAACTGAGATCTCGGTGTCCGGTGGCCAAAGCCCACGATTGGCCTCGACGGTCTTGTTGGCAAGTTCAGCCAGTGCCGGATTCCTTGAGTGAGAAGAGAAGAACAGCCCGGTTCGGTCAGGGGCAATGTTCGCTACTAGGGGCTCCTGGCATCGCTACTAGGAGCAAGGACGCTACTAGGGGCTCCTGGCCGTACTACTAGGAACAAGAAGCTACTAGTAACAAGTGAACGGCAGAAGCAGCATGTGTGCGTGCGTCTCTCTGATGCGTGGGTGCTCCCTAGGTTGTGAACGGCAGCAGCAACATCTCCATACTGCCGCTTCACAGTGCAATACATGGATCAGAACTGGCACCCCCTCCCAAACCTTGGAGGTTGTGGACCTCTTCATGTTCGGAATCCCAATGCTCAGTGACGTAGTTGCCTGTTCCACAAGCTTTATAACTCTGGGCACCATTGAATCTCGACACATGTCCTGTTCTTTGTAGACATGAACTATCACTATCAGTAACTCGTCACGCTAGAATACTATAGAGTTGCTGAGGGTCGCCTCCAGTGCAACGACTTGTTGAGCCCCATATTCTGCTGCCAGCATAGCCAGTAAGCCACTGCCAGCCCCCAAGTCCAAGACACGGCAGCCCGAACACCTGGCCAACAAATGCTCGAAGCCGCCAGGACTGTCAAACAAACTGCCGTTCAAACAGACAGAAACATTGCAAAAATGCAAGTCGAAGAAAGAGAGCAATCCAATCAACAGCCCTAGTAGCTTCTTGTTACTAGTAGCGATGGCCTCCAACCTACTAGCGATGGCCTCGCTTCTTGTTGCAAGATGAAAAAGAATCCTCATTTTTTGGCCTCAGACTGCTATGGTCAAATGTGTTATACGTACGCTTGCCACTGCTGCGCGATCTGCTCGGAAATGCCCCAAATTGAAACTACTCCAACTACCAGGAGCCTGGCCTCGGCATTGCGCTGGCAAGGGCGGCCCTGTAGAAGTTGTTCCGTCCGAAGTCATTCCTTATGAATACCCAAGGATTCTCCAGTGTTGCGTTTTTTCCAGAAAATCGTGGTGGTGGTCAAAGCAAACGGGAAAAAACCTATGCAAGCGACTTTGACCAAATGCCTTCATGGGTCAGCATCACATAGTGGTCAGCATAATCGAACAAAGGCTTCTTGCCAGCGCCGGCGGCATTGACCAGCAGGAGCGTAAAGCCAATGACCAGCAGCGCCATCGGCTGCGATAGTGGAGATGCTCCATCCCTCACAGCCCCTTCAAGTCTTCATTGCAACACCCTATGGGTCAGATAATTTGAAGTGATGACGTTCAACCTTGAAAGCCTAAGTGAAAGGGAAATAGTGTTTTTCAATTAGTATGTATTCGAGATTGCCGAATATATACTAGGATTCGCCTTTGAAGTGAGCTCCAACACTGCGCATAAGGCTCTCCCTTTTGGGCATATCACAGCTTTTGTCTCAGTAACAGCAGAGCTCTCACTCTGTCCGAGATGTCTGGGTCTATGCCTCTCTTCTCAAGAATTCCATCTCTCTACATCCAAGTGGCTTCTCAGAATGCACTCTAATCTCTTTGAAACGCTCAGGATCCACAAATGGGGAAGTGTCTGTGCAGCTCTTCCATGTTGGATTGTTAGACTCGCGTTGTTCAAACAGCATTTCTTTTAAGATTGGATCTCCAAAGAGAAACAGTGGGGGTTGCTTTGATAAATGCACCCTAGAATTGCTGCCACAAAAGGCAACGTTGCTTCATGCTGAAATAATTGAGTCTAACGCTGTGGATTCAAACTTCCCAAGAACGGTCTTGGTGTTGATTGATTGACAAATCATAATCCTTATCACATCTTATCACTGATCCTAGCAAAGAGTCACAGCACCAACAGCAGCTGATGCTTGTTTTGGACGCTTTTCTTTGGCTGTGCGAAGACGCACTTCACAACAGCTGCTGGAACCTCTGAGGAGCAAGTAACAAGTATACTCTGCTCACAGCAGAGCAAACAAATCTTTTGCAACATTGAAGTACCCCACAAACGTTGTTCACAACGTTCACAACACTTTGGTGGTCGCACATGGCAAATTGGCAAGTTGGATGAAGCAAGGACAAGAGTGGCTGAGCCTCTGGGCATCCCTTCTGTTTCAATGGAGTCCTGTCACCAAGCATAGCCAGGGCCTCCACCCTAATAGCGATGGCGTCCACCTACAAGCGATGGCCTC